TGGAACAGCCTATTAATGTCCCCAATTTAACATTCCAAAATTATACATGTTGATACAAATTAATAAGCAGAATATTAAATATTAATGGTCCTGATATGATATCTACACTTTTAACCAAAAGTGACATTGAACATTGCCGGAATGACCTTGAATCAAGGCAACATAATAACTAAAGGCCATATGTAATTTTTTTGTGAACAATGAACGTTCAATGTTTTCAATTAAGAGCTGTGTACTAGAAATGAACTTGACATTTTTAGCTCACCTGAGCCAAAGGCTCAAGTGAGCTTTTCTGATCAAAATTTGTCCGTTGTCTGTCGGCGTCGGCGTCGTCGGCGTCGTTGTTGTCGTAAACTTTTCACATTTTCATCTTCTTCTCAAGAACCACTGAGCCGATTTCAACCAAACTTGCCACAAAGTATCCTTGGGTGAAGGGGATTCAGGTTTGTTCAAATGAAGGGCCATGCCCTCTTTCAAGGGGAGATAATAAAGAATTAGTGAAAAATTAATAGCATCTTTTAAAAATCTTCTTGTCAAGAACAACAGAGCCAGGGAAGATGAAACTCATGTGGAAGCATTCTCAGGTAGTGTAGATTCAAGTTTGTTCAAATCATGACCCCCGGGGGTAGGGTGGGGCCACAATGGAGGATCAAAGTTTTACATAGAAATATATAGGAAAAACCTTTAAAAATCTTCTTCTCAAGAACAACAAAGCCATGATGAGTCATATTTATATAGAAGCATGCTCAGGTAGTAAAAATTCAAATTTGTTCAAATCATGACCCCCGGGGGTAGGGCGGGGCCACAATGGAGGATCGAAGTTTTACATAGAAATATATAGGAAAAATCTTTAAAAATCTTCTTCTCAAGAACAGCAAAGCCCTAATTGGTCATATTTATATGAAAGCATCCTCAGGTAGTGTAGATTCAAGTTTGTTCAAATCATGACACCCGGGGGTAGGGCGGGGCCACAATGGAGGATCAAAGTTTTACATAGAAATAAATAGGAAAAACCTTTAAAAATCTTCTTCTCAAGAACAGCAAAGCCATGATGAGTCATATTTATATGGAAGCATCCTCAAGTAGTGAAGATTCAAGTTTGTTCAAATCATGACCCCCGAGGGTAGGGCAGGGCCACAATGGAGGATCAAAGTTTTACATAGAAATGTATAGGAAAAATCTTTAAAAAATCTTCTTCTCAAGAACAGCAAAGCCCTGATTAGTCATATTTATATGGAAGCATCCTCAGGTAGTAAAAATTCAAATTTGTTCAAATCATGACCCCCGAGGGTAGGGCGGGGCCACAATGGAGGATCAAAGTTTTACATAGAAATATATAGGAAAAATCTTTAAAAAATCTTCTTCTCAGGAACAGCAAAGCCTTGATTGGTCATATTTATGTGGAAGCATCCTCAGGTTGTAAAAATTCAAATTTGTTCAAATCATGACCCCTTGGTGTAGGGCGGGGCCACAATGGAGGATCAAAGTTTTACATAGAAATATATAGGAAAAATTTTAAAAATCTTCTTCTCAGGAACAGCAAAGCCCTGATTGATCATATTTATTTGGAAGTATCCTCAGGTTGTGTAAATTCAAGATTGTTCAAATCATGACCCCCTGGGGTAGGGCGGGGCCACAATGGAGGATCAAAGTCTTAAATAGAAATATATAGGTAAATATCTTCTGATGAAGAACTGTAAAGCCATGATTAGTCATTTTGATATGGAAGCATCCTCAGGTAGTGTAAATTCAAGTTTGTTAAAATGATGACCCCCCGGGGATAGGGATGGGCCACAATGGGGGGTCGAAAATTTTACATAGGAACATATAGGAAAATATCCTCTTCTCAAGAACTGAAAATCATGTTTAGTCATTTTGATATGGAAGCATCCTCAGATAGTGTAAATTCAAATTCGTTCAAATGATGACCCCTGGGGTAGGGTGGGGCCCAATGGGGGATTGAAAGTTTTACATAAGAACATGCAGAAAAAATATTTCTTCTCAAGAACAGAAAAGCTATGTTTAGTCATATTGAAATGGAAGCATCCTCAGGTAGTGTAGATTCAAATTTTCAAATATTGACCTCTGGGATAGGGAGGAGCCACAATGGGGGATCAAATTTTTACAAAGGATTATATGGGAAAAATTTTTCAAAATTTACTCAAGTACAACAAAGCCATTTGTTATATTGACATGGAAGCATCATCAGGTATCCCCCCCTCCCCCGGTAACCTTTTCAATACTGAACTGATTTGTGCTTTTGTGCTTTTGCCTAGCCAATGTGCTCAGGTGAGCGATGTGGCCCATGGGCCTCTTGTTCCTGGAAGCGACCTTGACCTTGCCAAAATGACCTTGAATAAATATGAAGGCACACCCCTGAGCCATTTGCAATATTTGTGTTAGGTATGGGCTTCCAATGTTTAATCATTTCAAAATGTAAACAGGACACAATGTATACATTTTTCAAAATTGACTATGAACTTGATCAAATGACCTTACGTCAAAATCATGACATACTTTAAGGTCATAATCAATTTTTCTATGAGGTATAAACATCCAATACTTTCCATTAGAAAATAAAATCAGGCACAAATTTCACATTTTTTCTGCCAGTGGTCTTCACTTGCTAGAATTATCATGGGTCAAGACCATGACACACTCTTTGTTCACATGCAATCTACCGGTATGTCAAAAATGAACTTCTAAATGGTTCTCCATTACAAAGTTATGTCTTCTGGACAGATATTTTAAAGTTTTTCTTGTAGTGACCTTGATCTTGCTGGAATGACCTTCAGTTAAGGTTTGAACATACCACTGGGGCATAAATCTTTTTGTCAAGCATGAGCTTACAATATTTCTCCGTAATGAAATGTGGTCAAGACACAAATTATACATTTTTCTATAAAGGACCTTGAATTTTATCATCTGATATTGAATGAAGAACATGATACACCTACATGTCTTAAACAATTTCCGTATGAAGTATCAATATCCGATGTGCCTTCAAAAGGAAGTTATAGACCAGACAAGAATTTTACACTAATTACTGCCAACGACCTTGAACTAGATGAAATGACCTTGGGTTAAAAAAAGTCAAAATTCAACCTCAAGATTATAAAGAAACATTTTATCAAGAATGAACTTTCTCCATTAGAATGTTATGACCCCTCATAATTGCACAGACAAAAGAATACAGAGACAGACAGACGAAGTGATTCCTTTATACCCCAGCCTTTGTTTGCTGGGTTATAACTATGGCACAAATGATGTGTTATCATGGCAACTGATATTTTAATTGTTGGAATAATATTGCTATAACTTATATCTTTTCATTAGGTAGACTATTTTTATTGTTTCTTTATCACTGGCGATTAAGTTAAGTCATGTAACTCCCATAATAAGAAAATATTGAGCGTTTTCTGCATATAAAATGTATGCAGAATGTAGCCATGGTTACCATCTATGTAGAGATGTATTCCAAAAATTTTCTTTACATAATAAGTGGCAACAAGGTTTATTGGGTTTTTTTTCATATGTAAATGGCCAATTTGGTTTCTAAGTGCTTGTTAAGGGTCAATAAAGATTCAAAGTAGCCGAAAATCTAAATTTTGTTGAAATCATGCTGTCTGTTACCATGACAACTAAGGCACAAAGCAACCAAACATTAATTGATTTAAAATTCTGTTGTCAAACTAGTATAATTGTAACTATTATAATCAGTGATAATGAACAAAGTTTCAGGAAAATCAGTGACCATGCATGCCCCCCCCCCCCCCCCCCCCAAAGTTCAAGTGGTTAGAAAATTGCTCTTAACTCTCCCTAACATATTTTGGTTCTTGTGTGCTCAAATGTTGTTGCCATGGGTTAAAAGTTTAAAAATGGATTACATGTAAAATCATAAAAATGTACTTTGCTAAGACATCTATTACAAAATCAAATTTGATTAATTGCAATATGCTACCAAACTGTGGATTAATATTTTACAGTTGTTCATAAATATGTGTCAAAAGTGACTTTATTTGCTTTGTTGCTATGGAGAATTTGCTGTTGCCATGGAGATAAGTATTTGTACAATATTTCCTGGTTTGCAAAATTGTCTCAGATGTATTTTCTTACTTTAAACTCTGTTTTTGTACTCTCAGATTACATTTTATTAGATTAATAATGTTTTACATTGTACGATTTTCCATTTTTATTTATCAAAACATCCATTTTTGTTGCTAGGCAACGGATTGGAATTTTCAAAAAAACACACCTTTTTGAATTGAAAGTCCAAAAGACACATGCCTCTGCTTTTATGCGAAATATATGCAATTCCTGTATTACGCCAGAAGTTTTAGTAATGAGGCCTTGAAAAGTACCAAAATCAACAAAAATGCTGAATCAGCAAAAAACACAAAATATGCATATCTACCCATGTCTAGTACAGTTATATCTCAAATTCTTATTCCTATGTAGTGCATTGTGAAAACACTTTAAATGTTTATCTTTACGATAAGAATAAATAAGAAGAAATTCTATAATATTTACAATCAATTTCAAGCCCTAAAGATTAGTGATTTTTTTGTCCATACACATGGAAATTGACAGGTTGCTAGGGAAATTTCTTTTGTCATGTTTCCATAGTAACCATGACCCAAAACTTTTTTCACTTTGCGTACATGGTTCATAGCACAAGAGAATTCTATGTGTTGAAAATCAACAAATTCTGAGAACCCTCATGATTCACTTTCAAACCTACTTTGCCTGATTTTTACAGAGACTTGCACTTAAGCTGTAATAAAACTTAAAGCAGACAAGGAGTAGACTTGGGTATCTGTTAGTCATTTGATACATTGCTGAATAGAGATTATTTACTGAACTATGTTGTAGAACTTGACATCTTCAAACACATCTAAGTGGCATTTCAGCCCAGTAACTTCAATTGTACCTACAAAAGTAGTGAACTCAAAAGATTCAAAGAATTAATTTGTACCTAAGAGTTTCTTGTAAATTTTTAGGTTGTGTCAGGAAGTACAGAGGAAATTCAGAAACTGAATGATGAAATTTCAGCTCAGGTAGGTTATTTATAGCTCCTTATGTATTTCACACTTGTTGTGTTGTTATGATAGTTGCTGACTGTCAAAAAAAGGAATATTTTTTTGAATTTTTTTTAGCTAAACTGGTTTGTCCTTTAACATTATCAAAGGATTTTGTTCTATTTCTTGTGCATATGGAGGACAGACTTTCAAACTAAGCATATTTTGAAGCTGGTCTTGCAGATTGTGTATTTGAAATTTGTTTTCGTTCATGAGGACATCTGAATGTACATGCATGTATAACTTGATTAACGTTAATTAATGTAACCTTTAATTCACACTCAAATATCAATTATAATACATTTAATTGTATGGTACTGATTCAGATTGGTAATTAATAGTAACTCTGGTCTGATTTTGCAAACCTACACTAGGTCTGCTTTGAATGAAAGCCATTTATTTTTCAAAATAGATTGAATAAATAAAAGTTATAGTTTCTTCCTCCAACATTTGCAGTCAATAGTTTGGGCTTCTATTCCTATATGGAATTAATTGTCTGTTATAAACATATACATGTATAATGGGTAATTTCTGTGATCCAGTATTTAAGAAATTCCTTTGAAAGCAACAATAATCTCTTTTATGTTAGCAACTTTTATTGTTCCTATCAATCGGCAGTATCAACAACAATACTGGATTGGAATATATTGTGATGATTCTTATTTTTTTGTGAATTTAAATGAACTCTAGAATTCTGCTGTTTTTGAAAACAGAAGAAATTACCTGAAAAACAGTATTTTTGTTTTAGTTGTTTAATTTTTCTGTAGATGATTGTTGCTTTCTTTCTCTGTCAGGGAAATGTTGTGAGGGATCTGAAAGCTAAGAAAGCAGATAAATCTGTGATTAATGTGGAGGTGACAAAGTTACTGGCCCTAAAGAAGAAGTTAGTAGACATCAGCGGGGAGCCAGCACCAGGGGGAGGCAAACAGAACAGCAGCCAGCCAAAGAAGGCATCAGTGAAGGTAATGGCAAATTCTGAAGCATCAAATCGCTCTCAGAGGCCATGCTTAATTTGATCACTTCAAAATAGACTTAAAAAAGAATATTAAATGTTGCTTTTAAATGTAAATTATTAGAATTTCTGAAAGTTAAATAAAACATTTTTTTTCTCAGGAGAATAAGAAAGCTGAAGTCCCTGCTGTTAATGGAGCTGTAGACAGTAAAGAAGTAGAGAGGCTAACCGAGGCTGTAACTAAACAGGTCTGTACTATAATTCAGAAAGTCACAGTGTTTAGGTTACAAACAGAGTATGGTACATGTATGTCTCAAGTAAGATAAAAACTCTCTGAGGTTGTCTCCCTTAAAAACAGGACTCCAGTCACACAGAGGATGTAATAGCCAGGGGCCCGTTTTACAAAAGAACTTACAACTAAGCAAACATATAATTCCACTTATAACTTTCTATGGAACATTAATTTAAATATGGTTTTTATGGTTTTAAACAGAATTTAGAAAGATACATTTATGCCATCAATTTTAAATAGAATAATTAATTTTGAAAAATTTTACAATCAGTTAAAGTATTCAGTCTTAGTCGTAAGTTCTTTTGTATAACAGGCCCAGACTAATGTAAATATTTGTTTACATTCCATTACATAATTGATTTCATTTGATTAATTACGAAATGATCATTTCATGAATTTCAAGATTTCACCACAATAGTGTAGACTTTTCTGGGAGTACATAAAATATAAAACTCACAGAAATTTGTGCTGTTTCATGATTTAAGAAAATATTTACTTTAAAGGATCTGCTATTGTAAAATGTATTTCTAAATCATATCAAGGATTCATTATTATTAGGGATGTCAATTTTGTCAATAATTCATATTGGAATATTCAATGAAAGTATTCGAATATATTCGATAAAATAAATAAAATCTGTATTATTTTAAATATCCATCCCATTACTCTCATGAAAGGTTTAGCATAGGTGTACTTATATTGGAAAAAAAATTGTATGAAAACTTTTGTAGGTGTACAATAAGAAATTCCATTTGAGATTTGTCAATGCTTGAAATTAATAATTGATTTAAATGTAGAAAGAGTCATGTTAACAAATAAAACCTGCGTATTTATAGTAGCTTCAACTGAGGAACCGGTCGTCTTACCAAAGGCAAGATGTAGTCGTAACGGTATACTGTTCAGATTTCAATACTTGTAATAAATTACGATTATCTGCCTAATAAGAGATATGATAATAATCTTTGATACAATGTTTTTAAAATATGAACAAATATTTCCATAGACAAATTTTCATATATAATTAACTAATTTCCCGATAATGAATAAAAAATTCAGGATTATGTACAACCCGGGATAATCAAGTGATTTACACATTTATTCTGAAATTGAGCCCCTTACATTAATTACAGACTAATTCTATCGGACATTCATACAATGATCAACTAAATTTATTTTGATGAGTATACTCTTCACATCTTTTAGATATTCTGAGAAGGATTTCCTTTTGTTGTTCTTGATTCTAGATCCGATCGTATCTGACTAATAAAACCATGGAAGTAATTTTTGTATTATACATAAAGGATTATTGTATAATTCTTTAACACCTTACTCAAAACAACATAATTTAGTAAATCTATAAGATAAGAAAGTGGTGAAAGAAATCAGGCGAAATTGAATTGATCACTAGTAAATTAAACAGGGATAATTCCAGCACTGTTCTAATCAAAATTTATTAATCACAGTACTTCTTTTTATGAAATCTGAAAAACACCGAATATTCGAATCTTAAATTCATATTCGAATATCAACTCATCGAATGAATATTCGAATGTTCGAATATTCGTTGCCATCCCTAATTATTATATCAGTTATTATCCTTTTGTGGTTTAATGGTATGGGATTTGATATTGTATGCTATGAAATCTCTTAGATAAGATTGATTATCCTTTCAGGGATTAAAGGTGCGGGATTTGAAATCCCAGAAAGCAGAGAAATCCCAGATTGACTCTGAGGTGGCAGCGTTACTTGACCTAAAGAGACAGCTAGCTGTGGCCCAGGGTCAGGACCCAGAGGCCCTCACAGGGGGAAAGGGGAAGAAAGGGAAAAAGAAATAATCATGGGCCCTCAAAGGGAGAACTGGAAAAAAGACAAGCAGAAGAAAATTCAGATTTTATAATAAAGAAAGGCGAAATCTATGAGAGATAGGATTAAGTGATGATTTAACCTTGACAGCATGTTTAGAATGTTATTATGAAGTTGAAAATTTGACTGTTAAATGATAATTTAAAAAAAATATATATAAAGAAGGATATGAAATTATTATTTTTTTTTATAACAGTAATTCAAACTGAATTGTGTGACATCTGGTATTATCTGACCAGTAACATAAGCTAAATGGCTGACCAATAATATAAGTCCATTGGGTGACCTGTAATAGAAGCCTATAGGCTGACCAGTAACATTACCCTATTGGCTAACAAATACTGTATTTACTCACCTATAAGTTGGTTTAATGCTTATATTTTCAGACTAGAGTAATTTGCCATTGACCTGCTAATAAGGCAGTACAGTTTTTTTGACGGAATCTGTTGTCAATTTCTTATTATCATCCTGTTGTATTTTTATCGTGTTTCAAAGTATGTTTTGGGGTATGACATTGATATTTGATTTTTTATTAATGGTTTAAACATAAGATCAATATGTAATCTGTAAGCATTCCTGTTTTTTGTACATGGTATCATTCCTTTCCCGCATTAGATTACGTTTCGACCTTTATAAACATTTATGGTTGGAGTTGTTACAGAATTACTATATTTCCTCTTCCAGAAAAATACCCAGTTTGTTATGACTCCCTTATAAGTATAGAGATTTGGACCAAAATTTAACTCACAAAAATCCAACTTATAGGGGAGTATATATGGTTTATAGAAGACTCTTGGCTGATCAGTAACGTAAGTCTATTGGGTGACCAGTATAAGTCTATAGTCTGACCAGTAACACAAGCTTTTTGGCTGACTAGTTATATAAGGCTATTGGCTGACCAGTAACAATAAACTATTCCAGTAACATATGCCTATTCCTTGATAAGAAAATAAGCCCAGTTATAGAAGCCTATTGGCTGACCAGCTAAAGAACTCTATTGGCCGACCAGTAAATATGCTTATTGGCTTACCTAGTAGTGTAAGCCTTTTCCAGTATACATGTATATACTATTGTCTCATAGACTCGCCCGTAATGTAAGCTAATTGGCTGACCAATAATAGAAGCCTATAGGTGGACCCGTAACGTAAACCTATAGGCTGACATGTGACATTGTAACGTAAACCTATAGGCTGACATGTGACATCGTAACGTAAACCTATAGGCTGACATGTGACATCCGATTACTGGTTGACCTCGGCATAGTGTAGCTTACCTTCACTGTAGGAAAGCTGATGACCGTAATATAGTTTACGGTCATCAAAAAATGTCGGCCTAGCTGATCGGTAAGAATTTTTCATTCAAGATATCAAACATATGTTAGCATATCTGTGTAAATTCCGCTGAAAATTGAATGTACACTAATGAAAACTTGCTATTGGTTATTATAGTTAACTTGAATTTAAGAAAATAAAGCTGTAGTACGACCTCAAAGTTTTTGAGAATGATGACCGTAACAGAATATTAAGATGACCGTAATCGACGTTTATTCAGTGAAGTGGGATGACCGTAAATTTATGATGACCGTAATATCAAACAGAAAGCGTCAAAATAAAGATTTTAAGTGTACATGTGCCAAACGTTTTTACGATCGACAACGATTCTGTGTGCGATGATACAACTAAGAAAATATGATAAACATGCGATCGTGCAATTTGAAATTCATTAAATACCCTTAACAGTTAAATGAAATATAGTAAGAGTTTGCCGATTTACATGGGCTGAAAGTCTGTCGAAACAGAACATGTGCAGGACACCGAACATTTGATTTTTAAGAAGGGGGGGGGGGTGTTGACAGATTTTCTAATATTCTGCTTGGATAATGTCCACATTTTAAGACAGCAAAATCAAAAATCCAGAACTCTTCCTTTTAATTGTCTATTGGCACTCGATTAAAAATAAATCAGATACTAACAAAAAGTATTGGAAGGACCGAATTTTAGGATTATAGAAAAACAGGTTTTATTGTCTATGGAATGGCTGTTCAATCGAAGGAGTTGGCATACCTATAAATTTTACCGAAATTTTCAGTAAATAAAAAAAAATGAATACACTATACTATAAAAATAACAATTACAGGTGTTGGGATATCTATCAATTAAACTAAAATTACAAGTGTTATCATTTTACTGAAAATTGTTATTATTATAGTATTTATAATTTTTATTTACGGGACACGGAAAATTTCGGGGAAATGATAGGAATGTGTCCTTTTTTGACATATTTATTGCTTTTTTTTCACAAAAGTTGTCATGTTACAAATTTTATCTAAGAAATAAAATATGTCAGAAAGGCCATATTCCAACTCCTGTGGTTCAATTAATGATAGCTTACTCTATTAAACTCAATTCAATTTAAATCTTTATTGCCTCTGAGTTGTACAACTCATCGGGATGTCACAAAATGTGACGGAGGGGGGTGGGGGTAGTGAGGCTGCTTCCTTCCACTTTTTTTTAAACATAACTTTTTACTGTAACAGTAGAAATGTTCATTGAAAGGTTGGTTGCCCCCCCCCCCCTTTTTTTGCAGTATAGTTAAATAGTGATACTCTGGTACTTTGTGAATAAAATTTGATTGTGAAAGAAGTTGAACCCCCCCCCCCCCCCCCAACACACACACATTTAATATAGGGTTTTTCGAATTTGGACAATTTTCCTTTTTTATTTTGCTTGTCAAACTTTCTAAGGTAATTTTACATTTACCCCCCCCCCCTTTTTAAAAAACGATACTACGTGCCTGCAAATAAATTCTATTCTGTTGAAATATATTATATGAGATATTATAACTGCTATAACTTTGAGGTAAAATTTTGCGAGCCCTCCAGTTCGTTTTCCGTAGTATCTCCTTGATTAACATAGTTAAGTTTAATTTCTGATATTTATGTAGGTCAATTTTAATGGTTAAAAACGATATATCAGAATGACCGATTGCCTTATTTGAATTTTATAATATATTATACATCGAAATAACACTTTCTAAACAGAATCTACTCTGATTTGTGCTATTTTTTTTTTCATGCGTCTAATTTACGATCGCTATTTCCCAGTTATACGATCGCTTAATAAACGATACATGTCGTTGACGATCGCCTCGCAGTTGTCAAAATTTCCAATTAAAAGTTGTTTTGATGCTAATGTATACAGTTTTAATTTTAAAATGTTTAGTTCATACCTCTAAGAATGACCTTCAATGTTGATAGATGATAACAATCTAAACTATCTCAAAGCATGGAAATTCGATGTTTGGAGCATTGTCGATTTGATCCGTAACATTTGCACAGAAATTATTTTACAAATTTACTAGGTGAATCTTAAACTGTAGATATATATTTGCCCGAATTAAATCTTTTCTAGCATTATTTACAGCTGGTTATACTCCAGCACATACAAAACTGCTTTAACTTACTCCGTATGATACTTTCTTCTTCAATGATTTTATCAGTGTTGCCGATCGCATCAGAGTTGTTTACAGGGGTGTTATAGAACATGTAGAATTGATGTTAAATAAGATATAAAACATCTAACATGATTTTGTACAAAGATTACGGTCATCTCTATAACTGTTTTACGGTCATCATCTTCTTGCTGGAATGTGTATGTTACGGTCATCATACTGCAAAATTTCGAAGGCCTTTTATCATTTCATTTTCTTTTGTTTGGGTAAACAACAACTACTGGTAGGGAGATAACATCGATGTTCGTTTAACCATTACCTTAAATTATTCAGTTTGATTTAATAATGTTTATAATCGCCGTCGAAAATTTTCAACCGATCATCTCAGCCGACATGTTTTGATGACCGTAAACTATATTACGGTCATCGGCTTTCCTACAGTGACCTTACACTGATTATCACCACTGAAAACTGATTATCACCACTTTGCTTCTTTTGTATGTAAATTTGATGAAATCAAGGTTTATGAAACTGAAAGCTTCCTAAAGTTTCTTCCAATTTAAGAGTTTGAGTGATTAAACATTTTGTCTACAACATTTAATTTGGGGGAGTTTCGATAAGGCCGCTCAGCGGTCCACTTTTTTTTCATAAAAATAAATTTCAACCTTACTCACCTAAATTTGCTCAGTAATTAAATATACTCTGCACACTAATTTCTTGAAATACTATGAGTGTCGCGTGTGCACTTCATATCCAAAACAAGAGGCCCATGGGCCACATCGCTCACCTGAGTAACTTTGGCCATGCTGTTCTTTACCAGATTTCCCCCTTGTAATACTTATTGTGGCCCCGCCCTACCCCCGGGGGTCATGATTTTAACAATTTAAAATCTACACTATCCCAGGATGCTTCCACATAAGTTTCAGTTTTTCTGGCCCAGTTGTTCTTGAGAAGAAGATTTTTAAAGATTTTTCTTACATATTTCAATGTAAAACTTGGATCCCTATTGTGGCCCCGCCCTACCCCCGGGGTCATGATTTTTACAATTTAGCAATCTACACTACCCCAGGATGCTTCCACATAAGTTTCAGTTTTTCTGGCCCAGTTGTTCTTGAGAAGAAGATTTTTAAAGATTTTTCTTACATATTTCAATTTAAAACTTAAAATTCCCTATTGTGGCCCCGCCCTACCCCCGGGGTCATGATTTTTATAATTTAGCATCTACACTACCCCAGGATGGTTCCACATAAGTTTCAGCTTTTCTGGCCCAGTGATTCTTGAGAAGAAGATTTCTAAAAGTTTTTCCTATTTATTTCAAAGTAAAATTTAGATTCCCTATTGTGGCCCCGTCCTACCCCCGGGGGTCATGGTTTTACAATTTAGAATCTACACTACCCCAGGATGCTTCCACGTAAGTTTCAGCTTTTCTGGCCCAGTTGTTCTTGAGAAGAAGATTTTTAAAGATTTTTCTTATATATTTCAATGTAAAATTTGGATTCCCTATTGTGGCCCCGCCCTACCCCCGGGGGTCATGATTTGAACAATTTAGAATCTACACTATCCCAGGATGCTTCCACATAAATTTCATCTTTTCTGGCCCACTGATTCTTGAGAAGAAGATTTTAAAAAGTTTTTCCTATTTATTTCAAAGTAAAATTTAGATTCCCTATTGTGGCCCCGTCCTACCCCTGGGGGTCATGATTTTA